AATGATGACATTTCTATAAAGCCTAAGATTTATAAAAACAAAATAAAGCCTCACTTCAAATCCTCATTTGAAAAGTACTTTCAGCAATGAAAATCTTCATGATGGTTCTAAAATTAATTTCCAACACTAATAATGAAATTTAAACCTCAAAAATGGTAAAGATATCACGGATCTTTGAAGATTTATTTCTAGGGTGAAATAGACCATCTAGATAATTTATTACAATATACAATATGTTTAAAACATGGAATCCTATTTTTTTTTTCCACATCCATAACGTTCAAGCCAAAATGATTTCTAAGGGTCTTCTAATGTTTGAATTGCAATTTTCAAATGAATTGTGAAATAAGGCTTTACTTATTTTGATGGGCTGCAGCCCTATCAAACCATTTTCCAGATATATAAAGCTACCAAATACAATAACCTATAATGCACTTAGACCGTTCCCGCCGTCCATTCAAATCTGAATGGACAACAAGTATTAAATATTTATACTTACCTATACAACGGGGCTACACTTCCCCTTCCTCTCCTCTCTTTATAACCGCCCACTCCTCCCCAATCCCTCCTCCCTCTCTGCTACTCTCTTTTCTCTCTCGCTCTCTTCTCTATGTCTTCCCTTCTCCTTATTCTTTACCCGAGGAGCTGAAGGTCTTTCAACACTACCAAAAATTGCAAGGGGCTTAAACCCACAAGGAGTTGGAGGTCAGAGCTTTTTCTCTTGATCTCTCGCTCTATCGATTTCTCTTTAGGGCAAGTCCCAATACCTCCCCATCTTTCTCTCTCTCTCTCTAAAGCTCTCTATTCCCCTTCTCTTGTTCTCTCCCTCTCTCGACCTTTTCTCTTGCTTTAGAACTCTCCCTGAATTATTTAGACTCGCTTACTACTCATATCCCTCAGTCTAAAACTCTCTCTACTCCCCTTCTCTGTCTCACTCTTCCTCAGTCTCACTCTTGGTCTCTCTTCGCTCTTTAACCCCCAATCTCTCTCCAACCCCCCAACCTCTCTCTAATTCCGATCTCTATCTCTCTAACCCCCAACCTCTCTCTGTCAAACCCTCTATCTCTCTCTCCAAGGTGCCATCTTCGGTCCCATCTCAGTTAGATCTCCCTTTTTCTGCTTTTCTCTTTTGGGGTGTGGAGAGAGAGAGAGAAGAGAAGAGAAGAGAAGAGAGTGAGAGGGGAGAGGAGAGAGCAGAGAGCGAGAGAGCATGTGGGTAGAGGGAGAAAGAGGGAAGAAGCAATTAGTAGCAAAAAGGGGGAAGAGCAAGAGACAGAGAGGTAGAGAGACAGTTGAGTGAGCGGTAAAGTTGCGCAAATAGACCCCCACCATTCATTTTTTTTCTTGTTTGAAATGGATGGCAAATGATATGTGAGCGTCGTTGAGGCTTCGAAACGCTACAGAGTTCAGTAGCTTTTTCCAATACAGATACACAAAAACACACATTATGAATCAAATTCAGCTTTTGTCATGGGATAGACGTTAAAGCACGAACTGGGAAAGAAAAACAACGAAAACCAAAAGACCAGTAAAATAAAAAATCAGAGAGGGTTACTCTCAAATCAGCCCTTTTGTCATGGGATAAACAGGAGAACAAGAATTGGACATGAAAAAGAAAGAGAACTAAGGCTGGTAATCATAGCTAGTGGATTATCTTGGGCAGCTTAACTCCGTCATGGTTGAGGTTTTGAGAGGATTATCACCCGATGATGTCCTATTCTCGTCTCATGGATACGACCAAGATGCCGAAGGACCTAACATCCAATCAGAACAAAGTCCATTAGGAATTATGAAGGCAAAGCAAAGAACCAAATTCAATTATCATCAATTATTTTTGCATGGCTGTTTCCTGATTGTATTGGTTTTTTAGCTCTCTTGTTTCATGCCTTCTGGCTTCTAACGGTAAGATTAACATTTAGAAAGTATATTATAGATGTAATGTCACTCAGAGCTTTGCTTCCTTTGTATTTTCAACCATTTTTTTCATTTTATAACATCATAAAAGAATATAATAGACTTTCTTCCACTTATAAGTCAGGTAAAATATAACGAAATTGCTGATCCTTATCGACAATTTCTTTATTGTACTATAAAACAAATAAGCATCGGTTTTCGAAGCACTCACAGTCAATATTGCTTTGCCAGTGTTGTCAAGCTTCAGACCCGGCCCTTTCATGTCTGTCTCCAGAAAAAAGTACTTACCCTTCACGGCTTCTGACATTGCAATATCTCGGAGTTCCTGAGCATTTTTCAAATAAATGTCACGTAGAATTTCCAAAAAGACGAGGCACGTAGGATCCAAAACATTCAAAAAGGACAAAAGCACTTACTAGAGCCTTTTCTAGAGTGTCTTCAGCTAACTTCAGGACCACAAGAAAACACAAAATTACAGGAAGGATATGAACTTCATAAAACAATACAACAAGCAAAAGATGAGATTAGAAAAAACCTTCTTTCGTGGTGCTGCAACTAGCTGGGCATTGGCCGCAGCATAGCCAGCCATCTCATCAACACCATAGTTTAGTTTGTCCAGGGTAAGCCTCCCCCTCATGTAACTGCCATGTAACAAAGAGCCAAATCATAAACTGAAAGCAACTACATAAATTATTCATGGACGTAGAAAATACATTAGAATTCAGCATATTCAGAAAAAAGGAAAACATTACAAAATGTAATCCTCAAATTTCTTCGAAAACAATAGTGGAGATTTCAAATGCATCACAATCATAATGGAACTATCTCCAAACATACAGCTGCAATGTTAGAAGACTTCAATCAAAATAAAATATAAAATAATGCTGATTTCCATTACAACAAGACCAAAAATATATCAAATACACACTATTTCACTGGCTAATATTGTTGACCAGAAAAATGCCGGATAGTGATTCTCACGCAGATAGTGAATCAAGCTCCTCAGCAGTTATATACCAGCGAGGTACAGGACCACGACCTTTTTTCTCCTGTGAAATAACAATGCAGTATATGTGAGAAATATGAAAGTCCATAATGGCCCATCAGATAAAAACCATCATCTGAACTCAATCAAGTCGATTACTTTTCAATTCTGAAATTTTTCGCATTAAAATTAACTTTTGGATCCTAAAACCAACATCCTACACAAATCAAGAATTATTACACAAGCATCCATCAATAAATGGAAGCTGTCCAGAAAATGTAATCTCAATTATAAAAACAAGTCATTTAATTCTCAGATCTTTCATGTCTACACAAAATTCTTTAGAGAATACAATAACTGAACATCAAACTCACCAATTTAAGAAAGTAAGGGTTTATGACGCACACCCAAAATAAGCTAGTGCAAGACAATCATGAATCTAAAGGGAAAAGAACTCCTCTTTATTGATTTTGGGAAAGCTTATGATGGTATTTAGAGATTTAATTTGGTGGGTGTTGAAAAAGAAATGAGTCTCCAGATGCTACATTGATCGGGTGGGAGATATGTACGAGGGAGTATTAACTAGTGTGCGGACAACTAGTGGAGAGAAGAGTTTCAAGTGATAATAGGCCTACATCAGGAAGTCAGTGTTGAGCCCATATCTCTTTGTTTTAATCATGGATGTATTAACTAGGCATTTATAAGAAGAGGTACCATGGTGTGTGTTGTCCATAGATGACATAGTTTTGATCGATGAGACTAGAAGTGGCATCAATGCAAAGTTAGAACTTTGACAGATGATCTAGAATCTAAAGCTTTTAAAATTAGCCGAACTAAGACAAAATATATGGAATGCAAGTTTAGTGGGAATAAGAGTAGAAACGAGGCCATAGTTAAGATTGGGGCCAAAAAATACCTAAAAGAGAGTATTTTCGAAGTCAAGATGTGCAACTGCAATTTTATGTGAACGCCACATACCAATGAAGCTGAAGGGGAAGTTCTATAAGACAACTGTGAAACCAGCTTTGCTTTATCTGACTCACATGAGGATTGTAACAAATATGAGAAGGTTGAGATGGATAAAAGACAAGAAATGATAGAATTCAGAATGAATGTATTCGAGAGAACTTAAGGGTGGCTCCAATAGGCAACAAGACGAGGGAAATTAAACTTAAATGGGCTGCCTATGTGCAACGCAATCCAATACAACACCAGTTAGAAGATACGATTTAGTTTAAGTGGAAAGCTCTAAAAAAATAATGGGAAGGCCCAAAAGGATATGGATGGAAGTAGTAAGAAAAGATGACTTATGATCTTACTGAGGTATGGCCCCTAGATAGAACAGAATAGCGAAACAAGATTCGTGTAACCCACCTCAAATAGTTAAAATAAGACTCTGATGATGATGATGAACATATATATTCCATAATGTGATATGCCACCTTTTGTAAGCCTATGAAACCCTAAACTTAACTTAAGATCCAAGTAAACATTTTAAAACTCTAAAATAACCCTAGACAATACTTGAATTCAAGAAATACCCATGTGAACAGTAACCCGTAAAACATGAACAGTACCCATGAATAGAATCACTAGATGATAAAAAAAGATAATAAAAAAATAGAAATTGTGTTGGAGATTAACTCCACATTATATCCTAAAAATTTAACCCTAATAAAAAATAAAATGTACAGCCACATTCATGAAATTAAAAAAAATAAAAATAACTTCTGAATCACCCAGCTCTTGATCTCCATCACGTATGGATGTTTTGTATCTCATCTCCGTGGTTTTGTTACATGAATAGAATGAAATTGGTCCTTTCTTAAGAGACATGCCATATGGGTTTGATATTTCAGAAAATTATATATCTATAGAAGTTATTTCTCTAATGAGAATAAGAAAATGCCATGGATGCAGTGACTATCACATGAGCAATACACAGAGAATATCACATGAGCACTACATAGAAAACAGGTGATGGAGAGCATATACTGTTGCAAATACAAACAATCACTAAATTAGTTATCCATATGGATTTACAAATTCAAAATGTTTTCAACAATGTCATTGGAGAAATAAAGAGACTCTCAGATGTTGCCACTTTTTATTCAAACTTCGAAGGGGAGGGAGTTAGTGAGGCCAGTAATTTGTCTAATTTCTACATTTGCAACAAACTTCCTTACTTTACAGAGTATGCTGCAGTGAAAGGATGGCCTCCAATCCATTGTTACATCAGCTAATTGGTGGGTATCTATGTGGGTTACGAAGACTAGTGGAACGAAATGGTAAAATTGATTTTACGCAGTCAGTTTTGGACCAATGTTACCAATGAACTTTCAGATATAGAGCCCTTGATGTAGGTTTTGAGGATTGTAGATAGTGATACTATGCCTGTCATGGTGTAAGTGGGGTATATCTTTGAGGCTATGGACACAGCCAACGCAGCAATGGCAAAAACTTCTATATTAATTTCTTTATTTATTTTGTTCAGGTTCAATTTGGATTGGTAAACAAGAAAAGTTCCAAAAGGAAGTTAGACCTTGAACATTGTCAAGATGGACCTGTGACCAAACAAATTTCACTGATAACAGATTTTTAAAATTGAAACAAATCCGTTACTATGAAATTTGTTTCAAACATACCTGTGGTTCAAAGATTGACCCGTGACTAACCAAAAGTAGTTCACTGACAAAGTCACATTTGCAAGTGGATCTTTGGGAAGTCATATGCATATGATACCATTATCCCTATTTCAACTGGCGATATAAATTCCAATTTATATACAATGAGTATTTCTTCATTTGATCACTGTCATGCATAAGCTATAAATTTAGCATCTTCTGGTCCGAAATCAGATCTTGGTGATGGGGGAAATGCAAGTAAGGAAAAGTTATGAATGATTAGAAGCACATGAAATTTTGATGTCGTAGCCTGTTAACTTTTAACCTAAATGCCATGATATCATTGAGAAAGCAACATACAACACAATAGAATCATATTAGACCAAACAAGAGGAAAAAAAAACACAGGGTTATTAGCAGTAGGATTTGAACTTGAGGTGTAGCGTTGTCAGCAGTAACTGCTAAACAGCCAAACCCAGGTACAGTACCTCAACACAGAGACGTTTGAAACAAATTTTACTAATGACAGGCACAAATGCCTCCTTAGGGCTACAATGAAGCACCAAGAATTTACCTTTCGCAATGCTATATCTCCCTCAAACTTTGAAGGTTCAATGCTAGGAATACCGATTAGTTTCTCTTGCTGCAAACTGAATTCAACAAATAATGAACATAAACAGAAAACAAACAAATATTTATACTAAAAATACAGAAAAAATAAGGCATTCACCATTTGGTGGTACCACTTGTGGTAGTAGCAACAGGTGGCAAGCCAGATGGAAGATGAGTTAACATGTGCTGCAGTTTTTGTTGCTGATGCAAAGAGAGCTCTATGAGTTTCTGCAAACCACAGAAAAAAGTGCACAGGATCAGAAAAATGTGATGCAACAAAAAGCAGTAACAACTTATAAAGCCTAAAAGGCATAGGCACTAGATCCCATCCCATTGGCATTGGGAGGCACCTCACCAGGCTACACTTAGCTGAATAGCTGGAGTTAGGTAAAGTGTGATCAAACATATCATCATCATCATCATCTAAGCCTTATCTCAATTATTTGGGGCTATATAAATCATGTTCCTCCATTCTTCTATATAATATGTTCAAGATTCACAATAAGACGTAAAGTTTTACGTTGGCTGCCTACCTAACGTAACCCACCTCCTTTACCTCGGCTTGGGATAGGTTAAGGGAAAGTTTAAGGTCCACACCCGTTTTTGACCGGTTTGTGCAAAATCAATAACAAAATAATATTATGTTGAATATATTAAATTCAAATAACATAGTTCATTCTCAATCAGATAACGGCTATCCAACAGGCCCTTATAATAAAATAGCATCAAATAGGGGGTGACATAATATAACTTGAAATTTCGTCTACAATAAGAAATTTATATATTGGTACAATAAGTTACCAAACATGGACGAACTTTCGGGGTTCCAAGCCTGAGGTAACTTGGCATTCCACAGTAATTTTTTCCCATGTACTGTCCCAGCTCGCATGCATTTGTCTTTCTACGTTTAGAGTTGCATTCTTCATAATTGCATGACTCAAAAGTCCATGGTTTGGAGCTTGGAAGGGGATTCATGCTGAGGAGGAGAAGTCACTGTTCAAACAGTAAAAGCTTCTCATAGTGCTTGTCAAGGGGCCCTTAGCTTCTCATGTGATCAACCACATCACATGATAATATTTTCAGATTTGCTTCTATATAGCGGAATAGGCCAAAGTGTTCAACTTGCCCCTAATTTTACAACTGTTACGAAAATATCACCAATTTTTTGGAAATATCGAGATATTATGATATATCCGGTAACATTGTCGTTATGCTGAAAATATAGGCAATATTTTAGAGAAATGGAATTTTGGAAAACACACCACAGTACATACATTGTTTAAAAAAATTTATTTTTTACATTTAAAAAGCAAAGAAATCTTCCCCCTATCAACTCTAACCGATCAACATTAAACACATCTCGGAAGCGAATCTAATAAGATATCTACACACATTTAGTCCTAAGAGACCACGCAGTCATTTAAAAATTGGATGAGGTTTCTTTAAGGACCAGGCTTTAGGAAAAAAGTAAAGCCTCAAATCAAAACCTCATCTAGAAAATGCTTCGGGCATGGGAAACCCTTATGATAACTCTAAAATATATTTCCATCACTGATTATGAAATATGTAGCTCAAAGAATGGTAAGATCTTATGGATTTGTGAACACTTGAAAATGGAAGTCTAGACAGTGTGTTACAATATACTTCGTTTTTAGGGCTTGAAATACCTTTTTTCACATCCATAAGTATCAAAGTCAATATGATCAATTTCAAGGTTTTCAAACATTGGAATTGCACTTTTCAGTGAGATTTTAGACGCAGCTTTACTGCATTTCATAAGGCCTTGGCTTTATTTTAACCTTTTATTTAAAAAATTTGCAAGTCAAAAAAGCAAGGATATCAAGAAATTTGCATGTGGGAATTTTTCCTGACACTCTTTCAGAAAACATAAAATACATGTCAATCGAACTCAATAGTTCCAATCGATCATGAAAGATGAAAATTTCCCAATAATATGCACCACTGTGAACATTCTTTCAACAAATGGGTAAAAAACTGGAACTTGTGAAAGAAATAGAAGTTACATTAATTATGGTATTCAGAGAATGAAGATCAATATACAAAAAGATAAAATTCCTAATTTAAATTAGACTATTTTTTATGCTTTTATGATGATGTGAAACCTAATACATGGGGATAGTACTGAATAATGGTAGATTTGAAATACAATAGGTGTAATTTTGTATGGGGGACTCCTGAGTAGAAAATTTTAAATTACACAAGTAAACCATTTAAACATGTTCACAGTAATATAGTACAATTGAGGGACCAAATTACATGTACGACAAACTGACAAAATGCTATTCTAGGAGGAACAGGTACACAATAACAAATATTGATAAGAATGGAAATCTGTTTTCATACTACCCACTTCACTCCAACCCTTTTTAAAGTGCACTATTGCAAATGAATGTTCATCAAATAGTATTGTAGTTGTTTCTATTTGTTGTGAAGCACTCAATAAACGAATTTGCAAACTAAACTGAAAATGAGGAAAGAATATTTTCATAACAACCATGAATATCATCATCATCATAGCCTTTTCCCAATTAATTGGGGTCAACTACACGAATCATGGTCTGCCATTCTGCTTTATTAAAGGTTATCCTCAGTGAGGCCATAACTCTCCATATCTTTTAAAACTACTTTCAACCGCATCCTATTAGGCCTACCCCTTGCCTTTTTCAATCCTTCTATTTGAACTAACTCGTACCTCCTAACAGGTGTTGTACTTGGTCGGCGCCACACATGGCCATTCCACCTAAGTCTACTCTCTCTCATCTTATCGCCTATCTGTTTCACACCTAAATTCTCTGGAATGGATTCATTTCGAATTCTATCCTTTCTTGTCTTGCCACTCATCCATCTCAACATCCTCAGCTCCACTACACTCATTCTATGGGTATATTGTTTCTTATCCACCCGACATTTCCCTCCATAGAGCAAAGCTGGTCTTACAGCTATCCTATAGAAACTTGCCCTTCAGCTTCATTGGTATGCGACGACCACATCACATCTCCACTTCACCCACCTAACTCTAATTTTTTATGCAACATCTTCTTCTTTAATCTCTCTATTTTCCTGAATTATTGACCCAAGATATTGAAAGTGCAGTCTTTTTTATACTTCCTGGCAGTCAATCTTATTAACTACTTCCTCATCTCTACTACTATTATTACTAAATTTGCATTCCATATATTCTGTCTTAGTACAGTTAATTTTAAAACCTTTGGATTCTAGAGCGTCCCTCCAAAGTTCTAACTTTGTGTCGATGCCGTTTTGGGTCCTCATCGATCAAAACTATGTCAGCTGCAAACAACATGCACCACGATACCTCATCCTGTAGGTGCCTATTTAAGTCGTCCATAACTAAGACAAAGAGGTATGGGCTCAATGCTGGCCTTTATGTAGACCTATTGTAAATGAAAACTCACTCGTCTCTCCACTAGTTATTCGTACACTAAATAGGGCTCTATCGTACAAATCTTTCACCGAGTTGATGTAGTGTCCGTAGACTCCTTTCTTTTCCAACATCCACTAAATCAAATATCGAGGTACTATATCATAAGCTTTCTCTAGATTAATAAAGACCATGTGGAGGTAATTTCCCTTCGTCCAAAACTTTTCAATCAGTTGCGTAAGTAAGAAAATAGCTTCAGTTGTTGACATTCTTAGCATAAAACCAATTGGTTTTCAGATACACTCATTTCATGCATTAGTCGTTACTCAATCACTCTCTCCCAGAGCTTCATAGTATTCAATATTATATTGACATCATGATCAGAGTTCCATTTTCTTTCTACAAATAATTTATCCCTAAATAAGTATATTTTCTCTTTTTTTTAAATTCCACCACTTAGTTCTTGAACATCCATTACTTTTACCCTTCTTCCATGTCTTTATCCAGATGTCCATAACCACGAGCCTATGTTGGATAGTTAAACACTCTTCTAGGATAACCTTGTAGTCTTTACTACTTTCTTAACTAGGAAGAGGTCTATTTGGCTTTAATGTGATCCACTTTTAAAGGTTATTAAATGTTCATCTCGTTTTTAAAGTAAGTGTTTTCTATTGCTAGGTCGTAGGCCATAGCAAAATCTATAATAGCCTCACCCATTGCATTTCTTTCCCAAAACCCCCACATGTACCATTTCATATCCTCTATTATCATTTCCTACATGACCATTTAAGTCCCCTCCTAAAAAGGTCATCTCTCTATTTGGTATGTCTTGGGCTATTCCATCTATGTCCTCCCAAAATTGTCTCTTAATTCTATCATCTAATCCTATTTGTGGTGTATAAGCACTAATTATGTTAATTATCTCTTCCCCTAATACAAGTTCAATTAATAAGAGCCTATCACCTATTCTTTTGACACTAACTACTTTATCTTTCAAATCTTTGTCTACTATTATACCTACGTCATTTCTATTATTATCCTTTCTTGTATACCAAATTTTATACACATTTATTTCTTTAGTTTTTTTTCCTTTCCATTTAGTTTCCTGTAGGCAAACTAAGTTTACTCTCCTTCGTCTCATTGTATCCACTAACTTCATACTCTTACCTATAAGCATTCCTACATTCCATGTGGCTAGATGAATCCTATTCTCTTGGACTAGCTTCTTTACCCGTGCTCATTCAGGTTGTCGTGGGAAGCCTTGTCTATTTTTCACCGCAACCCGGTGGTGCTATGGCGTGTCGCTTCTAGGAAACGCCCTAGCTAACCCTTGCTCATTTCTCATTGTACCTGGGGTCCGATACAACGCGTCGCTTTTGAGGAATGCCTTAGCTACCCCTTGCTCATTTCTCATTGTACCTGGGTTACAGTACAGCGCGTCACTTCTGGGGAACGCCCAAGCACATCTAAGTTCAGGATTCATGATAAGTTTTGATAAAATTTTATGTTGATTGCCTACCTAACACAACCCAACCTTAACCCGGGCATGGAACATGTTAAGTTCAAGTTTAAGGTCATCACCCTTCTTAGACCATATAACAAAATTTAAGTAATCTATCTCTTTGAAAGTAACAATCCACTTCAATTTGTCCTGTCATGAAAAATAAAATAAGAAGCCATTCACGTTGAGCTAATAGTATGAAGGGGCTTAAGAGTTGATCATTGACTTGCCCAACTGATCAACGGTGTACAAGACAATACTTCATTCAAGTAATGAACATTGCCTAACTTTTTGCTTTGACATAGGACAAAGTAGCAGTACCATGTT